CACAATGATAATACCAACATGGGCCAGTGAAGCGACGTCCTCCACAACTAGACTGAAGAACAAAAGGACAGCAACTTGTCTGTTCCCCTTCCCCATTTCCCCAACGGTGTTCCCTCCCCAAAAAGAATCTTTAAAAAAAAAAAAGAAATGGCTGTTAGCAAAATGATCTATTATGGTTGTTGTTTTTCTTTTTGTTGTTTTTTTGTTTTTCGTTTTGAGGATTCAGTGAGGTAACGCTCCTGCTTTGTGTTCAGTGGGAATGATTTTTCATAGTTCTTTCTATTCCTAAGTCTTTCTTCTTCTTAAGTCCTGGCACCACATTGTCTGCATCACCCACTTGGCACATACTAAATATACTCAATTTATATTTGTAGAATGAATAACAGATGTTTCTCCTACTGTTGTCTTTTGACTTCTATAATGTGTATATCTCTAACTAAATTATTAACTCTTAAAGGAAACGACTGTGCCTTTTATATATCACACACACGCGCGCGAGTGCGCACACACACACAATGCACTCAGCATAGAGCCTAGAAGATACTCAGTAATTGCTTGTTGAACAAATGAATTCATGATGAGTGAATGAATTTGTTGAAATCACAGAATAGTAAAAAGTCAGTGAATATTTGTGGCGGGAAGGACTAATGAAGAGAAACACCTTGGTTCTGGGTACTTTTTAAGGCATAGACAGGATTTTAGGCAGCTCAACAGAAGTCTTATTTTATAAGCTAGAAGATGGTCAATCTACTGAGATCGTCTCTCTGGAGGGGTCTAATGGCCATCCAGTTCCAGATCTGTTTGAGGGGTAGGGCATGGCACGTGAGGGTCCCAGGCCATCTGCATTGCTGACTCTCACTGGCCTCTTGTCCTTAACCCCTGCCAGGGACCCCCCCGGTGTGCCTAAGCCAGGCCTGCGTCTCAGTGACCAGCTCCATCTTGAGTTCCATGGACCCCACGGCGGACCCCTGCCAGGACTTCTTCACCTATGCCTGTGGCGGCTGGATCAAAGCCAATCCCGTGCCTGATGGCCACTCGCGCTGGGGGACCTTCAGCAACCTCTGGGAACATAACCAGGCCATCATCAAGCACCTCCTCGGTAAGCACCCGGCAGACGGACCAGTGGGGCGGCAGAGGGGAGCTGTCAGAAAAACCCAGCTGGCCAGGCCCAGTTAAAGCAGGAGCTCAGTGGAATGGGAAGACCATAGGCTTTGGAGTAGGTGAACCTGAGTTCAAATGCCTGCCTCCTCACTCGTGTGCTCCTGAGTAAGTTACTTGTCTCTGAGCCTCAGTTTCTTCATCTGTAATGCGGGACTAAATGCCTAAATTGCAGAGTTTTGAAAACTAGAGAGCATGGTGTATGTGCACATAGTTGGCGCACAAGAACTGGTAGCTGTGGTGCTTGCTTTTGTGGCTTCAAGCTGCCTCTTAGCTGTTGACTAATCTTGACTGAGTTTTGCAATATGTGAGCAAAAGGAATCAAGGCTGAGCACGCTGGATCAGATTTTAAGGTTGCGAGCAGATAAACGTTACAGCAAGGGTTTATCTGAGAGTTACTGGAGGCAGCAATCTTCTTTGGCCTTCTGATAATTGGGCTTGCATGATAAGCCTCTAACCAAAGTTCTTTTTGCCCTTTATGAGGCCTTCGGCACCTCTAGTTGACATTGGTGTTGGTGGATTTGTCCTCAGATTAGAATCTCACATCTGTCTTGTTTGCAGCTATGTCCCTTGATAATGTTTGTTGAGTTAACGTCTGACTGCCCAGGTCCTCCTCCACGTGAAATGACACCACTCCGTCATCCTGTCATATGTCGAGGTCCTAACTTGAACCCCTTAGCAGCCGAGATCTTCACCATCTCTCTCTCCTGCTGACCCCATTCTGGGACCCTAAATCCTGGGAGAGGTTAGATCCTGAAAAGCCAGTCAGTTAATCCATCAATGAGAGAACTTAGATTCAAAAAAATACTCATTAAGTTTTTTAAAAACCCTCAAGATACTCAAAAGTAGGTAAAATAGAAGACACCTAAAAGGGGACCAATCTTCTTCTAAAAGGGACAGAAACCTTCCTACAAGACAGGAAAGTTTCTAATTTGACAGTTATGAATTTCAGGCAACTGTGTCTTTGAGATGAAAGGGCTTTCCTTTCTTGCCCATGCCAGGGAGCGAGGCTGCTGCTGGGTGCAACCCACCTGCCATTTCCTCCTGGCCCAGCAGCTCGTGGGCAGGGCCCCTTGGGGGTTCCCCTAGTAGCACAGCCTCTGCCTTTCTCCCTGCTGATCAGAGCAGGGTGAGGGGGCAGAGGTGTCTGCCACTCTTATGTCAGGGATCGCAAAGCCCTTGCCTGCTTTCTGCTACCCAAGTGCCTTTGAAAGGGGGACACAGCCTTTCATTTCAGAACTAGAAGCTTAAAAGGCGAATTCGTCTGTGGTAGCCACATTAGAACTCAGCTATGTCCCTTCCCCAGAGTGACACAGCCGGGAGCCGGGAGCCTCTGGATTCCAATCCTGCTCTGCCAATTAACTGGATGATCGTGGGTCAATTACACAACCTCTCTGGGCTTCTTCTCTTATCGATACAATGGGAACTGTGCCTCCTCCAGGTTATGAACCTTAAATGGGAAAGTACATTTAAAATGCTTTGTTTGCCTGGGCCTGGCATACTGCGGTGGCGACTCTTTATGGTGGTGTTACTGTTATTATTCACCCTTGACCTTTGCACAGCACTTCACAGTTTACAGAGCTGTTTTGTAGATATCATCACATTGGATCCTGAAGGGTGGAACTGAAGGGACTGTTCACCCCATTTGATAAATGAGGAAACAGATCTCCCAGACAGGCTAGTAGGTGGCAGAGCTGGGACTGGCCCATCTTCTGGTCACGTGATCTTTCCCCTGTCCCGCACTACTGCCTTCAGGTACAGGGGGTGGGTGTGGCTCCTTTCCCACCTTGCTGGAGGGAGCCTGCAGGAAGCACAGAGCACCAAGGGTCTGAAGGAAAGAGGGGAAAGAGACATTTGTGCAGCGTCTGCTACGTGCTGTGCCCTCTGCCAGGTGCTCTGTACTCACTGCCTCCTTTGTCCTCACAACTACCGTGGGACTTAGGAACTGTTGTTTACGGAAACATTTTATTTCTAGATGAAGGAACCGAGGCTCAGAGAAGTGAGGTAACTTTGCCAAGGAGCTACTGCCAGTCTAAAATGGAGAGGGGCTCCGGCCCTGGGGATCAGTTAGCCCCGAGAGGGGACGGGAAGAAAGGCACATGGGCAGGCCCTCTATCTTCCCAGGTAGGCCCAGAACTGCCCCTTGCGTATGGTGCCCGCAGGCCCTGATCCTGCTGGCTCTGGGGCTGGTTCTTATCAGGAGGACCTTGGGTCTGTGCCAGGACGGAGTCCACCCCCTGGCCCGTCTCCCTAAAGGGCAGGGGCAGTGAGGAGCAGCCTCCAGTCCAGCCACCCTGTCCCTGAGGGTCAAGGTGTGGGCGGAGAGCTGCACTGAGCTAAGCACGGAACAGCCAGAACCGTGTGTTCGAGCCCCTGACCCAGGGCCAGGGTCTGGTGGTACGAGGAGCGGCCACACTGCAGGGTTTTGAAGCCAGGCAGCCCTGGCATGCTAGCTGATCACCCGTGTGGCCATGGACAAGGGACCTGGCTTCTGTCCAGCTTAGTTTCGTTATCTGGAAGACGGGGATAATGATGCCACCTAACATGCAAGGTTCCCGTGAGTTCTGACTTGTGTGGGACGGTCAGAGAGCTTAGCACAGAGCCGGGCACCTGGCAGAACGGAGCTGCCCTTAGCATGGCAGGTGGGTGGGTTCCAGCCCAGACGGCTCCCTCGTAAGCGGTGACTGCGGAGAGGCCGCTCAGCCTCTCAGGGCCCCAGCTCTTCACCTACTAACTCAGACCATTGGGTGTGATGTTCTAA